ACAGCTATTTTATACAGAAAATAATAGATCTGTATGCTGTGACTATAATAATAAAGTCATAAACAATCTTGGAAAGACATAAACATATTGTCAACTCAGAGAGCAAACATCAAAACATTAATTTCATGGGTTTTTTTGTAAAATATGTGTTTACATCTAAATCTACATTGAAATTTATTTTTATGTATTTCCCTTTAATTTTACTTATTCTTCTTTTTTCTATATACTGTTAATTTGACAAATATTTTCTCTATGTATTTTTATAAAACATGTACTTTTGTTTCATACACATGTACTTTTTATTTATGTAAACTGTGTTGATTTCATTGTATTGCTTATTTTTATCTTTTAGTATTATTTAAGGAATTATTTTTGTTTCTTCATGTTCAATAGCTCACAATATTTAGCACCTGCGTGATTCTCTGAACTATTCTCGACATAGGTTAAGTACCTGTTTTCCCCATAAGAAGCTCCAGATTGTCTCCAACTACCTAACGTTCTGAACAACATCTTCATGTATGTCAACTTACAAACGTGTAAAAATGTCTTTGAGAAATATTCCTAGGAGCAAGATTACTAAAACAGAGGATACACTTGAACTTCATTTCTACCAGATTTCTCTCCAAAATGGCTACACCAGTTTACTTTCTTATCAGCTGTGCATGTATTTCTTTGTCTCTTCACCTGCTCTAACACTTGGCCTTAATGAAGATTTTTAAGCATCTCTTCATGTAATTACTAGACTTTAGAGTTTATCCTCCTTTAAATTGTTTGTCTATATCATTCACCAATTTTCTTCTAAGTTTTCTCTGTTTTCTCACTCCTTTAAAGAAGTCATACATTTTTCATAAGAGGACAATAAATTTTCCACCCAAAACAAACTAAATAAATGTCTACTAAGAAGTGGTATTATGATTTCAGGCAAAGATACACTGACCGACTTACCTAACGCAGCCGTTTCTAGTTATAGAATATAAAATGTTCTGTAATTCTTCCATCTGTTGTACGTATTTCTTATTTCTACTGATATGAGGAGCTTTTGGATTTAGTTTTTATTTTATTTTAAAACTTTTTAAATGCCATAACTTTATTTTCAAGCACAGATAAAGATGATTACGAACGACAAAAATGATGAAGAAAATGTTATGAAAAGAAGAATGCAACTTTCAAAGATTGACTGCCTTGTATCTCTTCACCACCCAGCACTCAGTTTCAAATCTTCAGCACCTGTTCTATTTATAAATAACCTAAAATCTCTTTAATGGATAAAAACTCTTTAGCATATAAATGAGCAGGGAGTGTGGTTAAATAACAACACATTTGACACAGAAAATCTTTCTGAAAATGATAGAATTGTTTTAAAAATTAACTAACAATACAATTCTAAGTACATACAACTCAATAGACAATATTCAGATAAGTACTATATATTAAATTTATGCAATTTCAGAATGGTACATTGTCAAAGGAAGTACACACACAACCGAGTACAGTGACTTATGAAGCATTTTACACATGGGTACTAAAGCAACAATTATTTAGCTTTGTGCTAGTAAATCTGTAAGTCAGAGGCAACAATAAGATAGGCTAGACTTCAGGCTCTAGCCTCTGCCACCAGGCTTCAAGCAGGTTGGGTTCAGGTAAGCTTTACATGTTCTCCTTCTCTGAGCCAGTGGCTCTCTGGCATGGCTTCATATGGGTTTAGCGTTGAAAGGGAAGGAGCTACCTGCGGCAAGCACGATATGGTTTTGTTGTGTCCCCACCCAAAATCCTATCTTAAATTGTAATCCCCAGTGTCTAGAGGATTAAGTGCCTATAGTGTTGCTATCTGTCAAATTCCTCCAAGCAGTTTTTAATCTTGGTTTATTCAGTTTCCTTATTATTTTCAGTGAAAAGTTAGGTCTACTACAAGCTATTTTATTTTGGTTAGAATCATAAATAGTTGTCTGATTTAGTTTTAAGGCAATTTTTTTTTTATTGTTAGCTCTTGTAGCAACTTTATTTTCTTCTCAATCTGCTATGCTTTCTCTTTCTGGAATATCTATTTCATTAATACTACATTTCTAGGATTTAGTTTTCTTGTCATCAATCTTGATAGGGCACTTTATTATTTTTTGAGCTTTATGACACTTTCTGAAGTCAAAATTCTAAATCTCTAGTTTAGTTTTCTGGAATATTCCATTTTCTTCTTCTTCCGTTGCATTTTTATATTTTATAACTTTTTATTATCATTAACTTTGCCATCACAAACTAACATATTTCATGTATTAAAAGTTCTCTATGCTTTCATTATATATTTAAAATTATTTTTGTGACTCTTGTTTAGAGTGATTAATGGCTAAAGATTTGGTATTATTAACAGAAGATATTTATTTTAAAAATTACATTAGCCTGTGTCCAAAGCTGCATCACGTACCTGAAAATACACTCTTCAATGTAGTTTTCATACACACATACAGACACACACACACACACACACACACACACACCCCTCCAAATGACACATGCTAAATACACACACACACACACACACATACATATACAAAGCATTTGGGAAGGGGTTTAGGGGACATACCCTGAAAACAAGCAAAATGCAAGTACTTGTGAGTACAGTTCCTAAAGGTGTCCACTGGGGTAAAAGTTGTACTCTATTGTCTCTATGGATTCTCCAGAGCCCCTGGTCCATCCTCTTCCACAACTCATGTTGCCAGAAACCTAGTAATGCTAATATAGCAGGTTCGAATTCCCATGAGAAAAATAATACGTTTCCCGAGGACGCCATCATGAGGCTGTGAAGTGCAACCTTTAGTCAAGTACAGGTATTTTGGTGTAAGTTTTTGTTTTCTTTATTTATGATTAATATGAACCATATTTAAAATGATTAGGAAGGAAACAGGTTAAAATGTTATGTAGGATTGAAAGGTCATCTCCCCTTTCTTAGCGGCTTTTAATTTTAATGGTTTCCTTGTTAGATTAGAGCTCTAATTCATATAGAAAAAGGAATATAGTGAATGTATATTATGAAGAATCACCATTGTGCATTTTTTCCTTTGTTTTTATTTTTTTCCTTCAGTTTTTATTTTATTTTAAAAGACTTTTTAAATGCCATAACTTTATTCCAAGCACAGATCAAGTAAAGATGGCTATGGGAACTTAAACTAGAACTTCTGAAGTTAAGCTAGCCCTGCTTTATGTGGCATGCAATCCACCAGGTGAAGACTAGAGAACAAATATGTAGGTGAGCAACTTTCTCACCTAATGTGCTAGAAATATTTCAGATATTCATAAATTTCAACCTCCCCATCTCTAGTTGTTCTCAGTATGTAGAACATACTAGTTGTTCTCAGTATGTAGAACATACAAATATGTAGGTGAGCAACTTTCTCACCTAATGTGCTAGAAATATTTCAGATATTCATAAATTTCAACCTCCCCATTCAAGTTGTTCTCAGTATGGAATTTCCAACACTTAACTGAAAAGATTACTTCAAATTGTCTTCTAAATAGGCCCTTCCTTTGCCTCTATTGAATTTTTTTGAATTTTATTTTTTTCTTTACTATGTCTTCAAGAAACCATTTAGATTTTGTCTGTTGAAGTCACTCTTCTGTTTGTCAAGATTTATATAGGTTTTTAGGGTTTTCTTAGGGGAAGCAATGTGATATACGTTGGAAAGGGTTGTTTTATGTTTTGTGTGTTTGTGTTCACATGTTGACATGACCACTGGGGGACCACTCAATAAGAAATGAGAATCATTATTTATATTATTGGGCTTAAAGCCTTTAAGAAGTTAATATGATCTAGGCTTTGGTCATTTTATTGGACTTGTTAAAGAAGAAAATTTAAACGTGAGATACAATCACTATATTCATTTCAAAATTTTACTTGTATGTATTAAAGACAATTACAATAATTGTGCATAAATAATTATAGAAAATTAAATTAAGGCAATGTTAGATGATATGGAAGGAAGGGGAAAGTTTCTAAAATTATTTGTCAAAAAGTTAAATGAATCATATGTGTTTTTGAAACTACCATCCAATGAGTACACCAGAGATGTTTTTTACTGTAAATAAAGAAAGTGAAGATGCTTCACCCTGGAAAGGGCAAACCATAACTAAAATCGATATTTGTGGATGCCAAAGCATATCACTGTAAATAGTATCCTATATTGTAGTTTTCTTTTAAACATGTGTGGCAGTACTAATAATGTAATCTTACTAAACAGGTATGCCTATTATTCTAATGAACAGGTAACTACATAACTAAAAATAAAGATATAAATTAATTAAATATTGTTTTGGCTTTTTCTTAGATCTCTATTTTTGGAAATACCCAATCAGGTAATCCATGATTCATAATTAACCAAAAAAAAATCTTTTCTAAGATCTGTCACCTAAAGACATAATACCTCAGAGTACATTGTCAGCTTCTGAAGTGCAAACTCTATAATTCTAACCCTCTAAAGTGGCAAACAAATTTTCTTTAATCACAGCACTTCAGAAGAAAGAAACTACAGTTATTAAGCCACATAATGAGGTTCCTTATGATATGCACAGCAAGTTTTATAATGATAACACGGAGAGTATAAATATGTTTTTCTAGGTATAGGGAAAATAATTAGGATGGCAGTGTGACAAAGAACTAGGTATAGAGTAATCTCATATTCTAATCTGTTAGACAAACATTAACGCCACAGAAAGGGCTGGGTGCAGTGGCTCACACCTGTAATCCCAGCACTTTGGGAGGCTGAGGTGGGCAGATCACCTAAGATCAGGAATTCGAGACCAACCTGACCAGCATGGTGAAACTCATCTCTCCTAATAATACAAAAATTAGCTGGGTATGGGGGTGCATGCCTCCCAGCTACTAGGGAGGCTGAGGCAAGAGGATCGTTTGAATCCGGGAGATGGAGGGGTTGCAGTGAGCCGAAATCATGAGCCAAGATTGTGCCATTGCACTCCAGCCTGGTCAATAAGAGTGAAACTCCAACTCAAAAAAACAAAACAAAACAAAACAAAAACAATGGAAGAGAACCTGTGGCTCTGAATTAACCTCCAGACTTGGTCAACACTTTTTGAAGACAGAGCAGTTTTTTAATTGCACTCTTCATGTCCTTGTTTCTCAGGCTATAAATGATGGGATTGAAGAATGGAGCAAGTACAGTAAACATCAGTGCAATGGCTATGTCCAAAACCGGTGGATAAGTGTCACTGAAACGCAAGTACATGAGTGATACACTGCCAAAGAATATCAGGAAGACCATGAGGTGGCCTGCACAGCTAGAAAAAGCCTTTTGCCTCCCTTCAGCAGAGGGAATCCTCAGTATCACAGTGATAATTCTTATATAGGACAGGGCAATGATTAGACCAGTAATGATGATGGTCACAGCATGGATCACATCCTCAATCAGAATCATGGATGTGTCTGTACAGGCCAGGCTCAGCACAGGGACCAAGTCACAGAAGATCTGATGGATTTGGTTGGGCCCACAGAAAGGCAGAGTGGAAATTATCACAATCTCGGGAAGCAGAATAAGGAAACCAAAGATACAGGAAGCTGCAGAGAGCTGAGCACAGAGCCGGGGGGTCATGATCATATGATAGCGAAGAGGGCTGCAGATGGCAACATATCTGTCAATGGCCATGGTGGTCAGCAAGATCCCCTCTGAATTTCCAAGTGAGTGGAAGAAGTACATCTGCAAGAGGCAGCCAGTCATGGAGATGGCCTTCTTTTCACTGATGAGGTTGGAGAGCATCTTGGGAATGGTGGCCGTGGTGTACCAGATCTCCAGAAAGGAAAATATACTAATAAAATTATACATGGGGTTGTGGAGATGGGTGTTCAGCCTTACAGCAGAAAAAATTAATAAGTTACCAATGATAATAAAAGTGTAGATGAAAAGTAAAGGAAAGAAGTACAGGAGACTACCATCCTGAAGCTGAGGGAACCTAGTGAAGATAAATTCAGTCACTGTTGATTGGTTTCTGCTCTCCATATTTCTAGTAAAGGTGAACGAAGGAGATGGCATAGTCCAGCTCATGAAGAGGTGGAGAAAAAAATAAATAAGATGTACAGGGAAACAACTTTGAGGAATAAAAAGAACTACTTGAAGTTTCCATTTTTTTTCTGACTTTACTGTACATATTGTGCAATATTTGATTTTTTTCATACTTACTCCTCCAGAGGCACAACTGCAGAAATAGGCATCTCCAAATGTTTTAATAGTAAAAAAAAACTAGCTAAAATTACTTTTAGCTTAATCTCTAAGTATCTGCATTTATAAGTTATACACATTTACTATATTATGACATAATAATAAAAATATATATGTCTTATATAATAAATTGTAAAATTAAAAAGTATGACCATAAATAAACATAATAGAAGTTATATTATGCCCTTTCCCAACCCGACTGGACCGTCGTTCACATGCTCTTTGAAAATCTCTTTTCTAAGGTGTTAGAATGTAAACCTGAAATTGACATGGAAATCCTAAGTCTATTACAACCTATACGTCTTTTGGAAAATTACTTAACGTCTCAGAGTCTCAAGTACTCATTTGCAAAACGGGATTTAAAATAGTACCTATCTAACAAGGATGCTGCAGGATTTAGTAAACACCTGCAGACAGATTTGAACAGTGTTTGACAGGCAACTTCTGGAAAGAGTGATACAATTACCTCACCGCATTTCTCATTCTCCTTTAACACTGCTGTGAGCTTCCTCCCGAGCATTAAGCTGATACTATTCTGCTCATGTTCAACAATGCCCTGCTAATTTCTAGTGGAAACTATCCAGTCGTCTCTGGCACTTGACACTGTTTGAGACTTTGGTCCTCTGTTTCCACAACTCCATTCTAAAGGGGCATGACTCCCAGACAGCTTCAAAGGCAGTTCTAGCTTTGACTTTTGTTCCTATTTTATTTATTTGCATTTGTATTTTCTTTCTTCTTCTGCCTCTTCTGTCTTATATTAATTTGCGTTGTTTTCCTTAAACTCTTTCCCAAGAGTTTATTTTCCCCAGGTTCCTATCATCCACTCCAACCTTATAGTTCTATACGCTCTCTTAGTGATCTCAATCACTTACAGGATTTAAACTATTAATACTTCTAAATGTTTTTCTCCAACCAATCTCTCTTTTATAAGCTTCACACCAACTATCTGACTCTTAAATCTCTGTAGCTTTGCCTGCTGACATTCTCCCACTCCTCTCTCCCCTGCAATCCCATTGTTCAAGTTGCTTTCTAAAATCACAGTTCCCTCCAGTTTGTGCTACTTCCTCTGACTTTAAAGTAACTTACATCTCCCTGCTCGGCCCCCTCTCCTCACACAAAAGCAATATATACTGTTGGTTAAAAGTCTAGATGCCAGAAAAAAAATTGCTAGCATTTAAATCCTCTTTATGGCTTGCCAGCTCTGTGACTTAATATGAAGTTACTCAGCCTCTCTATGACTTTAACATCTCATTTTTAAAACTGAGAACATATTAATATTAGTTAATGAGGTCCTGAGAATGACTAAACATTTTATAACAACAATAGAATTGTATAGTATATGGTGTTATTGCCTCACTAATGCTGGGATGATTCCAAGCACATTATATATACATATATATATATATATATTCACCTCATGTTCTTAATGCTCTAATGAGGTAAAATTATTATCCCCATTTTACAGATGAGAAAACTTAGGCATAGACAGGTTAAGTTCTTTGTCTAGAAATTCTCAGCTAATGAAGGGCGAAGTCAGAATTTAAATTTATGTGCTGAATCTCTAGAGACGCACTGTGACCCACCTCTAGATTGACTACCTCTAGCAATAGGTATAAATGTATTTTAAAACCTTCGTGTCAGGAATATAGGAACACCTGGAAATGTTGAGTGCCATTATGCTGTATTGAAGCATTCATCAGGCTCCATCATCAACGTACTTGTTTTACCTTCTCTAGACTATGAGTTTCTCCTTCAGGGATGTGAATGTTTTTTATCCCCCATAGTGACTACAACAGGGTTAGTATGTAGAGATGGTAGGTATTAAATAAATTAACTTGGAACTCAGCCATTTGGTACAATTATAATTAAACGCACAAGACAGCCCTGAATATGTGAACTAAGAAAACAGGACTGTTTGAAAAGGGAAGTATAACAATTCAGTTCTAATGAGAGCCGCAAGCAAGTCTGGACTAGATGATCTCTCAGAAAATGGCATCACAAATGTGGCATGCTGCTTCATATATACCCACGCCCAGGCCCACACTGAATAGAACTTCCTCCTATAAATGCCTTTGCCTTCCACCCTTATTCGATGTTCTAAATTCTTTAATAATAAAGTCTTCAGGTTATGAGATGATTATTATTATTATGCATAGCAAGTGAATTCATTCTCTTCATGACTTGGTCATCTACACTCACCTTTGCCAAAGAAAAACAGGGACTCCTCAGACTGTCTGAGTACCTGCATCCTTGATATTACTTCAGCCTCTTCAAAAAGGGATTTATAGTCTCTCCATAGAGCATCCTAGAGAATAACAGGATGAGGAATGGGGCTCTGCGGGGGATTCTTCCCCTGCACTGCAATGAAGTGGATCACCTTCTCTCATGGGGTTAATTAACAGAACGTTTCCCCTCTTACTCTTGCGTTGTTAGATTTTCAGATCAACACTGTCAATAAATATATATACCTTTCCCGATTGTATTCATCTTCCCAAATTTGTAAGCTTCTTTCCCCAGCGCTTTCAATGATGGTCTCAACTGTTCTTGAGCTTCTTTCTCCAGCACTTTCATCATGGTCTCAACTGTTCTTGAGACCATGGTGAAAGTGCTGGAGAAAGAAGCTTACACTACCAGTGTACTCAGCACTACCAGTGTACTATGCAAAGGGCAGTTTTGACATGGTCCTGCCCTTCTTACATGAACAGAAAGATTTGGAAATCCTTGAAGAGAGTATACTGACACCAGAAGATCATCTTGAAAAGCTATTTTACAGAAAACAAGGCCGTTTCAAAATAAACATGTCACTGGGGATTTAGTGCCAATACTGAAGAAAGTGAGGAAACCATGTCTTTTTATTTGTTTTACACTTCACATGCCATGAGTGTCTATGGGTCTTTCCTACCTTGAACAACTCACACTGGTTCTGTTGACTTCTCTATTGACGATCAATATCTCATCTTCTTCCACAAGAGTATTATTTATATCATGTGCTTCATCCACTGATCTGTCGATAACGCAAAGTTCTCTTTTTTTTTTTCTTTCAAGGTTAATTGCTTTTATCATGTCATCTTCTTCTGGAAATATGTATTAAGTTCTCAAATAGGAAGACATACTTTCTGAGTTTTGTCTAACTTTTCTGCTTATGATTTGGGAACCTATTTTGGTTATCTAACTTGTGTTTTTTTTTTTTTTTAAATTCAAAAATGTCAACAGGCCAGATTCTATTTCTAGTGATTTTGCATAATATAAAACAGTCTGTTTTGATCCCATGACTCAAGTATTCTCAAGCTCAGAAATAGTTTTCTTTAATTTTATCTGTTATTTTCCTCTGTTTATCACTTTAGAATGTGCTGGAGACTATTTTTAACCAAATAATTTTATTCAACCAAATTGGATGAATTCAACCAAAGCAGTCAAAGTAAATGAAATTTGAATTCAACTTGGCTCCAGAGAAATAATAACAAATATACTATAAATAATAATCACAGCTAAGTATTCCTGAGTGTGAGTTTTTGTTTTTAATATATTACTCTTTACTAAAGCATTCTTTAAAACATCAATAGCAAATGATAGTAATTAGTTGCAAAGACATTAACAGAGAACACCTATTTTGCACATGCTCCGTGTCATGCATATTCTAAGCACTTGCATAGAGTAGCTCATTTAATATTCATATTAGTATTTGAAGTCCTACTTTTAAAATATTACTTTTATACTAATAGATGATAAAACTAAGATGCAGACAACTTACTTATCAACTTGTGCAAGGTCACAAAGCTAGTATGTGGCATCACTGAAATACAAACCTTAACCTCTTCCACAGAGCTGATTCTTTTAACTACCATGGTTTATAATTCATAGTTGTTATTAATGCTTATGCACTACAATAAGCATTTACATTAAAAGTTTATATACAAGTAGTAAATTAATGTTCATAAAATACATTAATTATGTTTAACGGCTTAAGCGTCGTATTTCCTTTACAGAGTTCATCCATCTGTATAAATCTAGACAGGTCCATGCTATCTTAATTTAGCATGCATAAGCAGGATATACATGTATATGGGAAGAATGAGGATAAGGAGATACATAATATCAGTGTGACAATGAATGGATTATATATTAATTATATGGTTTATTGTGTTAGAGTAACATCCACAGTGAAAGATGCCTATGATCTAGCATTAATCTGCAGATAAATTAAACATCTTCTGAGGACAGAAAAGCTTCTTAATTGCAATCTTCATGTCCTTATTTCTAAAGCTATAGATGATAGGGTTGAAAAAGGGAGCAAGAACTGCAAACATCACTGCAATAGCTGTGTCCAAAATTGGTGGGAAAGTGGCAGAGAAACGCAGGTACATGAGGGCTACACTGCCATAGAACATCAGAAAGACACCAAGATGGGCTGCACAGGTAGAAAAAGCCTTCTGGCGGCCTTTAACAGAGGAAATTCTCAGGATCACAGTGATGATTCTGATATAAGAGAGGGCAATAATCAGCACAGAGAATACGATGGCCACAGCATGAATCACATCCTCAATCAGTATCATGGACGTGTCTGTACAGGCCAAGCGCAGCACAGGTTCAAAATCACAGAAGATCTGGTGGATTTGGTTGGGTCCACAGAAGGGCAGTGTGGAAATCCATACAATCTCTGGGAGCAACACAAGAAAGCCAAAGATGCAGGACCCTGCAGAGAGCTGAGCACAGAGCCTGGGGGTCATGATGATTGGGTAGCGGAGAGGATTACAGATAGCAACATACCTGTCAATGGCCATAGTGGTCAACAAAATCCCCTCTGAATTTCCCAGTGAATGGAAGAAGTACATTTGCAAGAGGCAGCCAATCATGGAGATGGTCCTCTGCCTACTGATAAGGTTGGAGAGCATCTTGGGAATTGTGGCAGTTGTATACCAGATCTCCAGAAATGAGAAAATGCTGATAAAATTATACATGGGGTTGTGGAGACGGGTATCCACCCTGATTGCAAAAAACACAACAAGATTCCCAATGACAATAAATACGTAGATAACAAACAACGGAATAAAGAAGAGGAGGCTACCATCTTCAAACTGTGGGAATCCAGAGAAAAGAAACTCTGTTACTGTAGTAGTTTGGTTACTTCTCACCATGGTCTTAGCAACGTTAACTGTTACTGTTACGGATACAAAGACACAGCTCACTTCCTAGAAGAAATTGACAAAATCAGATGTGACACTGAGTGTGGCTAGAAAAAAGGGTAAAGTTTTCAGGCACAAATATCAAGGTGAAGCCTTGGAAGGAAACTCTATTCTCAGCAGCAGAAAAGAATTAAGCTACCAGAAACTGGCCAAAATGGAAAGAAGCCATCAGTGAGAAATTGGGCAGTGGAAGATCTGGTATCTTGTCAGTCAGGTTAAAAGTCAGTCCGTGACAAATACTGAAAAGCAGCAGAGATTTTTGATAAATAACTAAGTCTCAGCATTCAGATTGTTTATACCCTGACAAAGACCATCACCATAAGAAGGCAAGAGCCAAAGTGAGGGATTCTAGCACAATTTCTGTCTCTTGATGCCACGTCCCTCACAAGTGGCGTAAACTATAATGATGCTATTTCTTAAAGTAGTGCAGAGAAACTCATGAGCTGCACTCAGGGCTTATTGTCCAGGAAATTCAGAAGTTAACCTAATAGACAGATTGAAAATTAGTTAAGGAGAAAGATTTAGAGCACAAACGAAGTTTGAAAAATAGTATCTCCTTCAGGGTAATGTGGAACCTTTTAAAAATGAACTCCTTAGACAAGAAATTGCATATGCTGTATACCAGCACTTCTCCATGAAGATAGCAAATATCTTTCCTCAGCTAATACTATTTTAATATTTATAAATCATGAAATTAAAACCATGTAATTTTAGTGAGAAATAATATTTGAAGTTTCAAATTAAAACAAGGGATTTGAAACATAGATTGAGGAAATAAAAATATTTGGTACAGTCTGGTATTTGCCAGGCACCTCATTACAGAACAAAATATACATCATGAACACATTCTATCAATAACTAGTTCATATTAACAAAGTTTGACAAATATTACTTTGGCAGCTTCTGAAAAATCAAGTGCCTACAGAGAATTAGGACATTTTGATTGTTTATATATATGCTCATCCTTCAGATTTTTATAAAGATTGTTGCAAACAAAAATATTACTGCTCTACAGATATTAATCATTATTGATTTATTTGTTGTTTATAGAACATCTGGCACGTGGATAGCTATAATCTTTCTGTCTATTATCTCTATTTATATCTATCATCTATCTATCTCTTCCTGCTTCTCTTAATTGTTTCACTTTGGTAAATAATCTTTCAGAGTGTGCTTCAACTTTTCTCTTGTAGTGCCAGACTACCAAAACACCCATGTTTAGTACCTCTTTGATATTATTCAGAATATAAAACATGTTGCTAAAAAAGTATATGAGAAATGTGATCAACAGTCAATTCACGTGTTTTTAAAATATCCTTATTATTTTAAAGATACAATTCTGAATTCATGAAGCTGGATGCTGGATGCTAGAAAATTAGCAGGTTCCTCTTACTCCAAACTGGTTATCATTGATGAATTGACTGAGAAAAAAAGAAATTAATCTGAGAACCAAATAGAAATAGGCTTCTGCTACATTATAAGGTAGTTTGTCAAGAAATAATAATTTGAGTATTGACAGTCACAGAGCTAGACCTTAAATCTGTTGATGCAGAATGGATACCGACCAGAAAAATTATTTTGGCTTTTCTTGAGCAAAGTACTAGCTAGGGAAGAGAGATTAAACATAAAGCAGAAAAATGAAACAAAACAAGATGAAACAAAAATATAGACAAACCTTGATATCATTTGGAGCCATTTTAATTTATACATTGATTAGGGAGAAAATAATTTACTTTCATTACTCTATGAGCAGAGAAAATCCATAACAATGTAAAAAAAATCTCAAATCTAAGGAGCAGGTTTTGAAATAGAGTATATTCAAAGGCACAGCAGAATGAATTTTTATATATTCTCTTTGTATGTAATTATCTTATATATATTTATCTCAGTTTATTTTAAATTGATAGATACAATTACATGTTTTCATTATATATAAGATGTTTTGACATATATATTCAGCTTAATTATCTTATACACTGGATTAAATTATAGAAAAAAAGGAATGTTAATATATACACCTGATCTGATTTTAGTTTTAAGTTTAAAGATGATTCTAAGAATAAACTATGGCTTTTCCTATTGAAAATGAGAGGAGGCTTATAGATTACAGATAATGGCCTAAATGCTAAAACACTGTATAGGCAAATGAGTGGTCTAATTATAAAAACCATTTTTCCATTTTAAGTTATTATTGGTTTATTTATTTACATTTATTGATTTCCCATTTTGTGTCAGTTTATAGTTTACTGGGCTTTGAGAATATATAACCAAATAAAACATTAAAAATAAAGAAATGTTCTAACCACAATGAATTAAAATTAATGAAAAGTGGAGAATTTTGGAGGAGGCGTAGATTTGGAGTCAAGTGAAGAGATAGGCTTAGAGTGGCTGACTTTGGAGTACCAATGGGATCTTAAAAGGTATCCAGGGAAAGCATGTAATAAAGTAGAAAGTAAAGTGACAGAAAATTGCAGCCCAGGAAAACGCCAGTATATAAGAAGAAATGGGGAAGAGGATCATGAAAAGCTAACTGGCAAAGGTACATCAGAAAGGTAGAAAATTTGAGGAAGAAAGTAGTACGTGACAGTTTCAAGTCTTGAAGATTATTCAAGTAATACAGAGGTAGAAATATAAGAATAATTTAGATGGAGTGATTTGAAAATCATTGCTAACTATATCCAGATAATTTTCAGTGGAATATGATGAAGAAGGAAAGCACATGGGAGTGGGTTAATTCATTTAAATGTAAAGAATTTATTGAGCACATAATTTAGAGAAAGTCCATAGTAGAAACTGGACTAAAATAAGTTAGTATTTAAGAACATGGAATTTAATTATAGACTGCATGGGTCTGAACCATGGCTCTAATGCTTCTTAAATCTGTGATTTCTGGGCAATTGTATAAACTATATATATTCTCAGTTTCCTCATCTGTAAAATGGAGATAATAAAAACACTAAATTTGCATAGTTGCTGTAGAATTACATCAGTTTATACAAACAGAATGCTTAGAAAAGGGACTGGCACATCCAAATACCGTTATGGAGAACAAAATCCCTTTGCTACTCCTATATAGGCAATGGTGTCTCTGGAAAGACAGGCAATTAGAATACAGTATATAAATGCTATGAGAGTTAAGTATAGGATACACTAGTTCTAGGCTTGGGAAAGACTGAGATAAACAATTTGTTTCTGAAAATCTGAAGTATATATAGAAGGGAGACAGGCAAAAAGCTATAAGGAGGTGTTTCAGAAAGAAAGAATATCAAGTATAAAGATTTTTTTTTAAACCCACAAAAGTAGACTGATGCATTCCAGAAATTAAACTCATTGCCTCTGGGCAGAACAGAGAGAGAGAGAAAGCAAGAGAGAGAGAGAGAGAGAGAGAGAGAGAGAGAGAGAGAGAGTGTGTGTGTGTGTGTGTGTGTGTGTGTGTGAGAGAGAGAGAGAGACAGAGAGAGAGAGAGAGACTATGATGATGATGCTTTAGATAAATCTGAAGAAATCAGCAAAAAGTTTATCTTGAAAAAAGTAGTAAGTTTTGTCTTGAAGGAATGAGACTTTACCCTGCCAGAAATCAGGAAACTACTGAAGAATTTTAAAGGGAAGTAAATTTATTTGACAAAGCTTTAGATTTTCAAAAGTGAGTCTGGTTGCATTATGTAGAATAGATCAAAGCAGAGATGAGTTGAGGTAGAAAAACTAGGTTAGTGGATAAAAGGCCAATATATAAAAAAACAATTACTGTATATATTATATATACTAAGAATGAACAACTGGAAGATAAAATTTTAAATATTATGATTCACAATAACAAAAATATAAAAAGTTATAAATCTCTCAAAATATATTGCAGAATCAATATGCTGTACTCTGTAAAACACTAGTGAAAAAAATCAAAGAACACTTAAACAAGTGGAAAGATATTGTGTTTATGGATAGGAAGGCTTTATATTGTGAAGATACCAATTCCCCAAAACTGGTCATTCAATGCAACTTAAATCAAAATCTCAGTAGTTTACTTTTGCTTTTGTTTGTGTTTTTATTTTGAGTTACTGACAGGAGAATTATAAAAACTATGTGAAAAGCCAAAGGACAGTCTTCACAGAATTAAAATAAAAACTATTTAAAAATTCACTTGTAACCAAAAAAGAGCCCAAATAGCCAAGTCAACCTTCAGCTAAAAGAACAAAGCTGGAGGTATCACATTACCTGACTTCAAACTATACTGTATGGCCACAGTAACCAAAACAGCATAGTACTAACACAAAAACAGACACATAGATCAGTGGAAGAGAACAGAGAAGCCAAAAATAATTGCACATCTCCATAATGTGCACATCTACAGCCATCTGATTTTCAAGAAAGCTGACAAATTAAGCAATGAGGAAAGGACTCTGTTCAATAAATGATGCTGCAATAACTGGCTAGCCATATGCAGATTAAAACTGGACCCCTTTCTTATGCCATATTTAAAAACAAACTCAAGATGAAATAAAGACTTCAATGTAAAACGTAAAACCATAAAAACTTAGGAAGGTAACCTGGGAAATACCATTTTGGACAAAGGACCTGGCAAATATTTCATAATGAAGACACTAAAATCAATTGCAAAAACAAACCAACCCACAAAAATCAACAAATGGGACCTAATTAAGCTAAAGGATTTATGCACAGTAAAAGAAACCCCATAAATAAGTGTGAAAAGGATATGAACAGACATTTTTCACAAAAGACATATACATGGCCAACAAGCACATGAAAAAGTGGTCAACATATTATTAGAGAAATGCAAATAAAACCCACAATGAGATACCATCTCACACCAGTCAGAATAGCTAAACTGGTTCAACCATTGTGGAAGACAGTGTGGCAATTCCTCAAGGACTTAGAAATAGAAATTCCATTTGACCCAGCAATCTCATTACTAAGTATATGCCCAAAGGATTATAAATCATTCTACTATAAAGACAGGTGCACACGTATGTTCATAGCAGCACTGTTTA